TTTGAGGGCTTTCCAATTTCTCCTCCCTCCCAATCATCTCTAAGGTATGTCTCTTTGAGTGTTGAGCTTAATTCACCGTAGGTCATTGTCTCGGTCAGGGCGGTCCTGGATTAGCCAGAGAAGGTCAAATCGAGAGAGGAGTGCGGCAGGAAGCTGTATGTTCTGTTCCAGGCTGCGGCGAGGGTTGTAGCGCCCATAGGCAGGGTTGGCAGCAGCCAGGATGGAGCAACGGGCATTGAGGGTGGTTAGAATGCCTGCCTTGGCAATGGAGATAGTCTGTTGCTCCATGACCTCATGGATGGCTGTGCGGTCAGCCTCAGCCATCTTGTCAAACTCATCGATGCAGCACACACCCTGGTCAGCCAGTACGAGGGCCCCACCCTCTAAGGTCAGTTCTCCAGTTACAGAGTCTCTCAGCACAGCTGCTGTAAGCCCCACTCCAGAGGAGCCGCGACCTGTTGTGTACTGGCCTAAATGGCAGGGTCAGGAAGACAGGAAACAAGCAGACATGTTTAGCAAAAGGGAAAAGAACAAGGAAGAGAGCAAGAATAAGGCAAGCACACAAATAATGGGGACAATGAAATGAGGCCTGCACTGACCTAATCTACTTGCTCAACCAGGCCTTCCTGGGTAAAGATCTATCTCCCTTCCCCAACCCTCTCCCACCTTTCAAATCCCCAAAGAAGAGAATAAATGTGGTGATCCTATTCTTGTTTCTACATTTACCTCCCTTCCCGAGTCCGATTACTCACTGCGGGGGGCCAGGCGATCAATGTAAGACAGGAGCTGAGATTTAGCCACACCAGGATCCCCCATCAGGCAGATGTTGATGTTGCCTGGAAAAGAAAGCCCCTGCGACTGTTCTCTTAACGCAAGTTGTCCAACAGAGAAAATATTTCTGAAGCCTACCCCACCCCCATACTCAGGATCGTTTCTTCTGATCCATTCTGGTGCCCGTGAAGCCAAGATGCCAAGTCTTGCTTTCCCTCGTCAGAGCCTCTTCCTCATTTTCTCTTACCCCTGATTTTCATGCCCCGAGGAGACTGGTCCACACCTCCCACCAGAAGGAGCAGCAGCGCCTTCTTTACATCTTCATGCCCATATATTTCTGGAGCAATGGAGGCTGCCAGCTTTTCGTAGAAATCCTCCTCTGAGGGCAAAGTGAAAATTAGGAAAAAAAGTGCTAGGAAGAAACATTCCTGGTCTTTCCCCCAGCTCCTCACCTGCGATCTGCCTCAGCTCCTCCTTGCTCAGTTCTCCAGACCCAGACTCATCATCCTCACTCTTACTCATCTTCACAATCCGATGGGCTTCCAGGTAAGTTTCTGAGAGTAAACCCTTGAACAGGAAAAGACCATGATATGAAAAAAGTCCACATTATTCCTTCAGAAAGGAGTTCCCGATAAAACCCTCTGTTCTATTTTGTTTTGCTGTTAATAGTTTTCTCTGTGGGTGTGGTGAGAGTGAGTGGGCAAGGGGGAAAAGGGAACATTCCCTCCCTTCAAACTCCCTTTCTTACCTGTACCACCTGCCGGAACCCAGAGCGCAACATTGGCAAGAAGATACCAGTGACACTGATGTGGTCCCCAGGCTGGGCAATCCGTGTGTTCTCTCCTTCTACCAACACCGTGATGCTACGAGGGATATTTCCCACAGGCACTTGGTCACTCTGGGGGATAAGGGTGCACAGGCAAGGAGAAAAGAACATAAGCCCCTTTAGGATCTAAGCTCCTGCCTAGGGATCCCACTCTTCTACTTCTTGACCCACCCTAGCTGCAGACCAGCCAACAGGAATACGGAAGCAGAGATCTCCTTTACCTCTCCCCAGCTCAATCAAAGTTTCAGTTAAATATCCCTCCTGCTCTAGGTGACTTCTCTGCCTCACCTCCTCCTCCTCCTCTTCTTTCTTCCACTTGTGAGTGACTATAGTATTCAAATCGACTCCCAAGCTCCATCTCCCCTGGGCAACACCCCCAAAACTCACATGTTCTTGCATCTTCATCTCCTGGAATTTTATGAATTTGGAGCCACGTGTCTGTAAATATAGTCGCCCTCCTGAACGGTTGGTCTGGCACTCTTGGCTCGGGCACATAATCAGAGGCATGAAAGTGGGAGACTGGATCTAGGATGTAAGAAAGCATCAAAGGAAGTCAGAAGAAAATGAACCACTCAGAGTCAGTCACTTGCATCATGTTTTATCATCACAGAACTATTCTGGGATAACAGTTGACAGGCATCAAAAACACAAATGGATGGTCTACATACCAGAAAAAGAATGAAAGGTGAAAACACAGATGTATCTTACAGTAAACAGAGAAAAGGATAAACCTCATAGACAGGAATTCTTACAAAAAAGACTAACAAGTGCATTCCCGTTCCCTACTTCATACATACCGGCTGGTAGGTCTCTGCCCCACACTGGTCACAAGTGTAAGTGGCCACCACCATTCTGGGTTTAACTTCAGAGACACGAGTGACAATTCCACGTACAGTTACCAATTTCCCTACAGAGTCAGCCCGCACTTCCCGGATCACACGAGGCTTATTACTACTTGGGCCTTGAAAGTACAGTTCACTGAGAGAGAAAATAGTCATTAGCAAGGTCCTGAAGAACAAATTCCCACACCTTTCCCCACTGAGATCACTCACAATCTACGCATGAGTTCAGGAGGGTACTGGTTCTGGGGGCTTCGGGCTGCCCCAGGGTCCCGGCTCCGCTGCTCCATCATCAGTCGGTGCTCAATGTAAACATCCAGGACATCTTTATTTACCACCTACAGGCAAAGGAAGGAAGATGGGAAAAATGAGGGGCAGGATGGGGCATAAAGGTCAGCAGGCAGAAATCATTGCCCTCCTTTCTGCTAGCTCAGAAAACATGAATATCTGAGACGCTCCCTGACAGAAAAGTTCTTTGCCCTGAATTTTCTTGCAAACACTCACCTCCCTCTCCTTGTATTGAGGCAGCAGCTCCTGAACAGAATCAGCAAAGAGCCTCGCATAGCGCTTGGTGTTCTCACAAATTGAATCCACCAGCTCAGGGTCCTCCTCGGCTACATCATCTAGGTCTATGTACATTGCCACCTGTTCCCGATGAGCCAGTCGAACCTGGGGTGGGGAAGAGTTGGGAAGACCCGAGTCAAGTTTACTGTGCTCATGCAAGGACCCATCACTGTGAGCTCAGGACAGATGCCAGGTCTCCACAGAGGAGAAACAGTGTGGGACAGCAGTACTCACTTCTGAACCCCCAAAGACAGCTTCCCAACTCCTAGAAACACCTCAATTATCACAAATGTAGGACCGTATCACTTACCAAGTACCGGGTACCGCACTAAACATATGTCATTTACAGACAGATGTGCTTGTTCAAATAAGCCAGGCCACCTTACAGCTCCTTAAGGTGCCATTCCCTCCAATCTTAGACTTACCAACTGGTTCCCATACTTGAACTGCTTCTTGCCAAACTCGTCATCCTGGTAAAACTCTTGTAGGAATTTCTTCACTTTTTCTATAATGTAAATATAAAATCATGATGATCAACCTTCCTTTCTTTGAGGTGCCTTTTTGCAAACCCCTGACAGAAATCTAAGAAACCCACTCTTGTTTAAGTGACTAAATAGTTATATGAACGTTTAAATCACCCCACCCCACATAATTTTCCCCAAACTGGGCAGAACTCCTTTTCACAAGTCTGTTTTTATCTAAAGAATAAGGGGGCACTTGGCAGTTGAAAAATTACCCAACACCCTCCCCCTGGGGTAATTTCAGTGTCTGCCTTCGTTAGAAATTTCAGTGCCCGTTCCCAAAGGCCTCCCAACTCCCAGCAGCAAACTCAAGTCTCAAGGTTCTCAGCTTTTCTTCCGTAATTATTCCCCGTTTTCTTTCGGTGCCCTAAACCTAAGCCACTAGTCCCATCCTCCACCCCACCCCCTCTACCGCCACTGCTTCCGCTCTTAGTAAACAAAGAAGCACATGGGCCCAGATGCTGCCGCCTCACAGCGCGGGATTCCTCCGCCCGGGGGAGCCGGTCCGGCAACTGGCCAGCTGGTCCAGGGCACTCCGTCGTCCCCGTCTCGGCCCCATACTACCTCCTCTAAGATTCGCACTAAAACCCTGAATTCCAGGCACGCCCCCGCTCTCGGCAGCTCCCTCGGAGGCTACCGCGCGGAAGGACACTGTTTACACACGGAGCTCCCTCCGAGGCGTCGCGCAACTTCCGCCCGCCTTCACTTCCGCTTGTAGGTTGGACTAAAATGGCCAATCCGCGCGCGCAGCGGCCCGGGTCAGCCCGCCCCCGGGGCTTCGACATCCCGGGAGAACGCGGCTACTTGGGAGTGCCGAAGCGCGCGGAAGGTAGCGGGGCCAGCGGGGCCCGACTCCACGCCCTAGATAAGACCTTCCGAGGTCCTGGTCTCGCCTAGGCGCGACCGTCTCCACTCGAACCCTCAGCGGGACTATCCGCCGCCCCCACTCCTTTCCCGGACACCATCACTAGCTCTTCTCCGACCTCGGGTCTCCACGCGCCTCCCAGGCACCGTGTGCCTTAGCCACGCCGCTTCTGGACCCCGGCTCTGGCCTCGCGCGCCGAGCGGCCCCCAGGACCCTAGCTCACATCAACAGGTGCTGGCCGGGAGAGTTCCCGCGCCGGACGCCCCTCCCAAGCTTGCAGACCCTCACCTTTCTCCAGCGCGTAGTCCTTAAGAGCCATCGCTGCTGAGGACCGTGCAGCAGCAGTTGGCGCGCTCTGGGTTCTCACTCTCCCGTAGCTGCGAACGTTCCCGCTGCAGACTGTGGCTGACCAACCGAAATTGGCGCGAAACGTCGCCCAACACGTGACCGGCGCAGCCGCGTATGGGCCAATCCGATAAGAGGTCCTCTGTCCCGCCCTCTCGCCGCGGGCCCAGCATCGACCAATCACCAGGCGAACCTGGGCTGAGTGACGGGGAAGCGACGTGGGTGATGAAAGGGACAGGTTGGGCGGGGTGGGGCAGGCGCCGGATTTCCCGCGTCAGAGGAGAATCGGTCTTAAAGGGCCAGCCTACACGCGTCCCTTTGTTCGGGGCCGCCGTCCCTTTCCTCTCCTTGTCCACTCTGCAGAACGGCCATGATTTCCCAGTTCTTCATTCTGTCCTCCAAGGGGGACCCACTCATCTACAAGGACTGTATCCTTGACCCACGAGTCCACGGAGGGAGGCTGGGGTGGGAGTAGTGTCCCAGAACTAGCTTGTGTCTCCGGCTCCTTAGCTGTCCTTCAACCGGTCAGTCCGCGGGGACAGTGGAGGCCGGGATGTGGCCGAGCTCTTCTACCGGAAGCTGACGGGACTGCCTGGAGAAGAGTCCCCGGTTGTCATGGTAACCACAGGGGGTTGGAGTGATATTCTGGCAGGGTCGGGTGGAGGGGACGCTTCCTCCCCCTCGGGGCTGTGTCCTTGAGGGCTTCCCATGGGGATGGGGGCCGTGCATTCCTCCAAATAATATTGAGGAAAGTTTATTGAGCGCTAACAATATAGCAGGCACAGCTCCTCGCATGAAGAAGGAACACTCATGAACCCCACTTTACACTTGGGGAGACTGGGCCCTTGGGAGGTTTCTGGTTCGCCCGAGGTCGCACTGCTGGGCAGCTGGGGAATCAGGGTACCAGCTAAAATCTCGTGGGCCCTTAAGCACAACTCCCTTCCTGATGCTGCCCCCCCCCCACCCCCCTTCCTGCCTCAGCACCACGATGACCGGCATTTTATTCACATCAGACACAGTGGTCTCTATTTGGTGGCCACGACTTCAGAAAACATTTCTCCCTTCAGCCTCCTGGAGCTGCTCTCTCGGTGAGGAGGGCAGGGCGGGGCAGCGGGGTGTTGGGGGGTGAGAGGAGGGAGAGAGGCACACGCCATTCTTTTCCTCAGGTTAGCCACACTCCTGGGCGATTACTGCGGCTCCCTGGGAGAGGGGACCATCTCCCGCAACGTGGCCCTCGTCTATGAACTCCTGGATGAGGTGTTGGTAAGGCTCAGAGATGTCCTTCCTTGTCCCTGTTCCCTACAGAGCTGTTCCTTGACTGTGAGGCCAAGGCCACTCCACTTCACCTCTTTGCTCCACGGGCCCCCCTAAAACTGTTCTTCCCCGGTCGGTAGGATTACGGCTATGTGCAGACCACATCCACGGAGATGCTGAGGAACTTCATCCAGACCGAGGCTGTGGTCAGCAAACCCTTCAGCCTCTTCGATCTCAGCAGCGTGGGCTTGGTGAGCCGAGGGACAGAGGACCAGGAGGGAGAAGGTTCGGCTGGGAGTGTCAGACCTTGAGGACTGATTGCTTTGGGTGCTTTGCAGTTTGGGGCTGAGACACAACAGAGCAAAGTGGCCCCCAGCAGTGCAGCCAGCCGCCCCGTCCTGTCCAGCCGTTCTGACCAGGTGAGGGAGACTACACAGGTTCAGACCCTCTGATTCTGTTTTAGGGGATCCCAGAGTCCAAGATGCCTGCCTATCTTTCCACCTCTCCTAGGTTTGGATAATCCAGTCCCTTCCCATACCTCGTGTCCCCCACCCTGGCCCTAGCGTCCACTGCTCTGGCCACTTTAGAATACAGGCTGTTCAGCCTCCAACTACCCAAATGCCCTCTCTTCCTCAGAGCCAAAAGAATGAAGTGTTTTTGGATGTGGTTGAGAGACTGTCCGTACTGATAGCATCTAATGTAAGTCTGGGCCCCCCGCCCTGGAGCTGAGGACAGGTAGTATCTGGCAAACACATTTGGGGAGGTCATCTCTGGGCACTAACCTCTGCCACTCTCAGGGCTCACTGCTGAAGGTGGATGTGCAGGGGGAGATCCGACTCAAGAGCTTTCTTCCCAGTGGCTCTGGTGAGAAGTCTGCAGGGTGGGCCTAGGGTTGGGTGTGGGACAGACTTCTTGGTGGGGTTTGTGGTGGTATTTGGTGGCCTTTTCTGATGTCCTTTTTTCTGGCAGAGATGCGCATTGGCTTGACAGAAGAATTTTGTGTGGGGAAGTCGGAACTGAGAGGTGAGAAAAAAGTGGGTCTTTCTCTCCTACCAGAAGCTTCATGCAGAGAAGTTAGAGACAGATCCCTACCCCATCCCTGCTTGCTCTTCTCTCCCAAAATATGGCTTAGCAGAGTCTTTCTTTCTAGGTTATGGGCCAGGAATTCGGGTGGATGAAGTCTCATTTCACAGCTCGGTGCAACTGGATGAATTTGAGTCTCATCGAATACTCCGCTTGCAGCCACCTCAGGGCGAGGTCAGGATGGGCTGGCCTAGCATATTCCATCTACCCAAGGGAAGGGAGGCAGTTCAGGTGTGAGGGGACCAAACTGATCACCGTTTCTCCCTCATCTTAGCTGACTGTGATGCGGTACCAACTCTCAGATGACCTCCCCTCCCCGCTTCCCTTCCGGCTCTTTCCCTCTGTGCAGTGGGACCGAGGCTCAGGCAGGTGAGACCATTTCCAGTTCTAGAATTTCTCTGGAACCCAAGTCAATAGGTAGATTTATTGTGGAGGCATGGTGGTTAGTGGTATAGGTTACAAATTGGAAAAAGGCACCCTCCCTCCAAGTGGATTCAGCCCCATGAACATTAGTGACTAATAGAGTCGAGTAGATTTCAGCCCTTCTCTCTCCTTCCTTCAGTACACGTATGGGTGCTGGTGAGATGCCAGTAGGATATGGCTAGAGCAAGCATGTCAAACCCTCGGCCAGTGGGCCGCATGCCTTGTTTGCATGCCGGCCACGAGTTTGACATGCTTGGGCTAGAGTAACGGTGTTGTATTCTCTCGTCCAGGCTCCAGGTTTATCTGAAGTTACGATGTGACTTGCCCCCAAAGAGGTATGAGTGCGGGTAGCCAAGACTAGTTCAGCTATGGGGAGTAGGAGAAAGGGCCCAGATAGATACCTGTCGCTGTGGCTTTCAGATGCAGCCACCAGCCTAGGAATCAGTTTGGGAAGGGGGTGGGGCGGAACTTGTGCTGAATTCTAGCTATGACATTAATGAAGCGTGGAGACAAGTCACTACCTTTCTGGGGCTGACTCTGTTCCTTTCATGTTTGCAGCCAGGCTCTCAATATCAGGCTTCATCTTCCCCTGCCTCGAGGGGTGGTCAGGTTAGTGTGTGTGCATTATGGCTTTACCAGCTTCCCTGGACAACAGGATGGCACTGGGGAGGAGAGTATATACTGTGGGGGTGGAACTGGCCTGCCCGAGGCAGTCGGGCTGAGCCTAGCACCTTTCCAAACTCCAGCCTGTCTCAGGAGCTGAGTAGCCCAGAGCAGAAGGCAGAGCTGTGGGATGGAGCCCTTCGCTGGGACCTGCCTCGGGTGCAAGGAGGCTCTCAGCTCTCAGGCCTTTTCCAGGTATCAGCTGCTGATTCTCTAAGGTCCTCTTCTCCCTCCATTTTCAGCCCCAACTCATGTCTCCTAATATAGTTGCTGCGTTGTTCCCACTAATATAATCACCTTCCTGGCCCCACGGCTCCCCTGCCCACCTTCCTCTCTGTCTTCAGCACTCATCCCTCTGCCTCTATCCCTCACAGATGGAAGTCCCAGGTCTGCCCGGGCCTCCTGGTCAAGGACATTCCACCTCAGCCCCTCCTCTGGGGCTGGGCCCTGCGAGCCTCTCCTTTGAACTTCCCCGGCACACGTGCTCCGGCCTCCAGGTTCGCTTCCTCAGGTTGGCATTCAGACACTGCAGCAATGCCAACCCCCACAAGTGGGTGCGACACCTAAGCCACAGTGATGCTTATGTCATTCGGATCTGAGGCTCCCCAAACAAGGACATGGGCAGAAAAGACGGTGGCCTGTGGTTCAGGAGGAGGACGCTACTGTCTTCTCCATTCTTCTGGCCTGTGGTTATGGATCTGGCTGGAAGAGACCTAAGTCCTAGAGACCACGAGGGCTCAACAGGTTAGATCCTTCCATTGTATCGGACACAGGAAGGACTGAGGTGAATCGGAACTTTTAAATCAAACTTTTATTATGAGGAGCTGGCTGTACAATATCTAAAAAGAAAGTTAAGGTGAGGGAAGCAGATGACTACTTCCTTCCACCGTGTGTATGTGTGTGTGTGTGTATGTAGAGAGAGACTCTTGGGAAGAGAAGGTTGGCAGATGTGTGACAGCATCAAGGGGCAGGCTGAGGCGAGCCAGATCCAGGGGGCTGGGAGCCATTAGCCTTTGGAGTCCCTGGAGCTGGAGGAGGGCTATCTCCAGCTTCCTGTTTTCCCCCACAGAGGGCACTGCCCCCAAGTGGGGAAGGGGCTTAGGATTGGGGAGGGACTGGGGAAGGGTGGGAGGTGGGGGGGCCTCCTTTGCCGTCCCCTGTTGGGGGAAGAGAGACCACTATGTACTTCTGGACACTGCCGGGGCCAGAGGGAGCAGTGCTGGGGGGTGCAGCTGTGGCAGTGGAGACCAGCTTGACAATGGGCTGCACACTGGGGACCGTGGTAGTGACAGGAGAGGTGGTGGTGGAGCCTGAGCCAGGGGCTGAGGTGCTGAGGGACAGGACCTGGGAGAAGAACGTAAAGTCAGTGTCTGTTATCTTGCATCCTCACTACTCCCCAGGCCTGGGGGAATACCTCACTTGCTCCAACCAAATAATCATCCTCTGATTCATCCTCAGGGGGAGAAGCTATGGCCTTCGGGGCCCTGGGAAGTGCTCTTTCTATCTCCTGTTTTGGGCCCAGAGGTGACTGGGCTCTACTCTGGGGTCTCTCAGGACAGCACGGTGACATGCTTCCCATCATCCCTGGTCCCATAGGGCTCTACATACCTGTTGGGTGGATGAGGCACTAGAGGACGATGACATTACAATAAACTTGGTGGGAGGAGGGGAAGGCTGAGGTGGAGCGGCAGCTCGTGCAGACACCAGTGTCTGGACGGGCAGTGCAATGGAGCCAGGGACTTTCAGCAAGCCAGGGGTCCGAGGGCCAGGTTGAGGGGCCTGAGAAAGGGTCAGCGTGGGTCGGGGCTGTAGGAGGGAGAGGCAAGAAGAAAATGTCAACATCTAAGAAAATGGGCTCGTCTTGCTCCTGAGTTGGTCTCACTGGGGTGGGGGTTTAGCTGCCTCCAAAACTTTTGACTCGGAGGGCCCTGGGTTTTAAAAAATTCATGCTCAGCATGGGCATGCCTGAATTCCACATCCCAATGCAAACTGGGGCTCTGTCCCGCCCCCGTTATTCTTCATTCCTCCTCTCCATTTGGTCACCCTTCCGCCTCCCTGGACTGTCACTGACCTGAGTGATGGTCAGAGTGGTCCTGTTGACCTGCTGAGCCTGCAGAGCAGCTTGAGCCCGGGCCTTGACCACATGGGAGCAGAGGAGGGGTCCAAGGGACCCAAATTCTGCCCGATAGGCATCCTGATTGTCAGGTGGTGGGCGCAGCTTTGCCAGAACAGGGGCACAGTGCTTCTGTAGAGATAAAGCAAAAAAAAAAAAAAAAAAAAGCAGGTAGGAAGAGGGTTGGGATTCTCAGAAGTGTGGTGAAGGCATGAAAAAGGCTATTACCATTTCAGTATGTTCTTGGTGAAGGCCAAACTGCTGGCATAGCAGTGTGTATAAGGAATGCTGTGGTTTTTCTTAATAAGAAAACATAGGCACCAATTGGTGTGAACAGAGAACATGCTAAATACCCTGGTAATATCTGAGAGGTAGTTTTGGTCCATAGGGCATATGCTGTACACAGAATGGGCCAAAGTGATCCAGAAGCATGAGGAGTAGTGCAGTCTGGAAGCCTTGAGATTTAAGACCTCTTATTTCTTATTTAACTCTTTTGTGCCTCAGTGTTTTCCATCTGTTAAATAGTATTGGACTCTGAGGTTGCTCTGAATATATGAGGCAAAGATGGGATAAATGAATAAAAGACCACATTCTTGCTAAACATTGTACCTGTGTGTGTGTGTGTGTATGTGTGTGTGTGAGTGTGAGGGGGGAGGGAGGATTAGTGGGAAGAAGCAGGGGGAGGCAGGGGGCTCTGGTCACCAGGAGGAGGCTCTGCACGTGGTCAGCTCCAATTCGGTCAACGTTGCTTAGCACAGGGCCAGCCAGAACACTTCGGATCCGCTCCCCCTCCTGCTGCAGCCGTGGCAGAATCAGAGTTTTAATCACCTGTTGGAAAGGAAGAGGAGAAGCCAGGGCCCTGGGGTCACCACAGTGTCTCCCAGGTGGTGGGCTATTGCCCACTATGACTTCATGATGCCTCCCTCCCAAGTGCTTCCCCACTGACATCATGTCCCAGCTCGGCCAGGCCTGCAATGGAGCCGTAACGTGTGGTCCACGGAGTCCTCTCATCCACCCAGCTCTGTAAGGGGATGGAAAATAAATCCAGGTAAATGGGCCCGAAAGCCTAATTGGTAAGGACCCAAGTCTCATAAACACACTTTCCTTGTAGATCATTAAGACATTACAGATATATATGGCATACGGCTCAAGTCCCATTCCCAATCCCTCTGCCCTCTGCCCCTTGTTTTCAATTTCCACCCACAACTGACCCACCACTGCTCTCATTGTCCTGGTGACAACCCTGAGGCAGAGATGTGAAAGGGCTTACGTTCCTTATTCTGGCTCACCTTGGTGAAGGTCTTGGTGATCCGGGACTGGATGTTGTTAGTGGTGGTGCTGAAACGCTTGCAGATCTGGGCCACCAGGCGGGCAGCAAAGTCCCGGAGTGCCCAGTGATTGTCCACATCTGGCCTCAGACACAACTGTCTGCACACGACGCAGGTCATCACGGCTGGAATCAACTCATGCAGCTGAGAGAAAAGTGGTAAGACAGCTAATTATGGTTACTGGCTTACTGCTGGTGGTGGTGAGGTCTCCAAAGCCTGGGATAAGAGGTGGGTAGGCAGGACCACTCACGTATTTTTCTAGGTAGAGCGTAGGGTTGTCCATCAGTGCCTTCACCATGCGCATCAAGTAGATGAGCAGGGCCAGGTTGTTCTGCACCACGTTCACACGGACCTATAGGAGGGAGAAGTGACAGGGCAGGGAGACACTTTAGATGAGCTTCCCCTGCCAACTCCTCACCCCCTGGAACCTCATTCTAGGGCCTTGACCACATGGGAGCAGAGGAGGGGTCTGAATCCTCTCACCCCCTCTGAGATGAAGGTGCTGAATCGTGGCAGCATCTGATAGAGCCCTGGGTCTGTTGCGATGCTCTGAAGGGCTTCTTGTGGGAGGAGGGGAATGAGTGAGGTGGGGCAGATACCACGGGGAGAATCTGTGAGGCCTCCAAGAGAAGGGGTCTGCGGTAAAGGCAGGGTGGTGGGGCCTCACCGCTCTCTTGGCTTCACATGACCCCACACAGGCTTCAGTGATCACCTTGTAGTACAGTTGCTGCTCCACAGACAACTCATGGATACTTCGGGGCTTTAATCGAAAAGGGCCCCCCTCCAGGAGGGGTGGTGCCTTCTTCTCTTTCCCTGTGTAAATTGGGAAGATGGGCTTGAAAAAGAAAGCTCCAGAAGCGGCCTCAGTATCAGAGAAACCTTGAACCTCTACTCACCTACCCAGGGAGACCTGGCTTCCCTTACGCTGCTTGGTCCCTTCTGGGGCTTCCTGGCTGACCTCACCCAATTCACAGTGACTATCTGGCTTTGGGGAAAGAGCCAGAAGAGGCCTGGCCTAGCAGTACTGACCTTTGCCATCAGCTGGAGCAGCCCCTTGACCTTTGCTTTTCAAGGGTCCATCTTCCTCCTGGCCTGGCTTTGCTGACTTCAGGGGTTCTGTGGCCTCAGCTTTCTGCTGCTCTTTGGGAGCTGGTGGGAAAGCAGTCAGTTGCAAGAGTGTTGAGAGGTAGGAGGAGGGGCAGGGGCAGGG